CGATATGCAGATGATACCACTCTGATGGCAGAAGGTGAGGAGGAATTAAAGAACCTCTTAATGAGGGTGACAGAGGAGAGTGCAAAAATGGTATGAAAGCTCAACATAAAAAAAAACGCAAAAACTAAGATCATGGCCACTGGTCCCATCATCTTCTGCTAAATAGAAGGGGAAGATATGAAGGCAGTGACAGATTTTACTTTCTTGGGCTCCATGCAGATGGTGACAACAGCCACAAAATAAAAAGACGCCTGCTTCTTGGGAGAAAAACGATGACAAACCTAGACAGCATCTTAAAAAGCAGAGACATCACCTTGCTGAAAAAGGTAGCTATGGTTTTTCCAGTAGTGTTGTATGGAAGTGAGAGCTGGACCATAAAGAAGGCTGACCACCAAAGAATGGATGCTTTTGAATGCTGGAGGAGACTCTTGGGAGTCCCCTGGACTGCAAAGAGAACAAACCTATCCACTTTGAAGGAAATCAACCCTGAGTGCTCACTGGAAGGACAGATCCTGAAGCTGAGGCTCCAATACTTTGGCCATCTCATGAAAAGAGAAGACTCCCTGGAAAAGAACCTGATGTTGGGAAAGCGTGAATACAAAAGGAAAAGGGGACGACAGAGGATGAGATGGTTGGACAGTGTCATCGAAGCTACCAGAATGAATTTGACACAACTCCAGGAGGCAGTGGAAGATAGAAGGGCCTGGCGTGCTCTGGTCCATGTGGTCATGAAGAGTCGGACACAACTTAATGACTAAACAACAACAACAGAGAATGGTGGGATTCTGGATGGCCTGTTTTCCTTCATCCTCACTTTGGAGGAGAGGGGAAAGCTCTGTGTCATACACTAGTGAGATGACCACTGGACAACTCTTTTTAAATGAATCATTGGGTGAAAAAATGAGAAAGATACCAATAAACCATATGAACTGGTTTTCCAGGTTTTGCCCAGATTCTATCCCATTGCCCTTTTGGACCATCCTTTGGCCCAGATTCCCAAACATCATTTAAGGGGTGGAGGAGAACCTGGCAGTTCTTGAGATGAAATATTTCTTCCGTCCCTGGATTCAACATTGGTAAAATCCAACATTGGATTGTTATGCAGGACAATTTTTAAAAGCAGCTACAAGCTATATGTTCACAGGATATTGATTTCTAAATGAAGACAAAAATAAGTCAAAGGAGCCATGAGCCATACCAAGCGCTGAGTAAAGAGCAGAAAGTCAGTACTAGTCACAGGTACCACAATCTGTCATACATCACTTTTCTTAATGCATTACTTCCATATCTGGAGTGATTTGGATGCACTTTATCATGATTTTTGCAAATGAATTACCATTCATTCATCTAGCGACCTCACCTATTTGTAACTCTGAATAATCTGATAACCATTTTGATACCTCAGCATGCAATACACCACTGTAGTTTAAGCAAATTAAGACAGTTTCCTTCCATTTCTACTTCTGTGACATATCCTATCCCACATTTTCAATGTGCCCTTAATCTTAAACATTTTGGATCACTCGCTGGCAGCATTTTAAATTTTCACTTTTTATTAAATGTTGGAAATCAATACTACTAAAAGTGGATGCACTCTCATTTACCATCCTCAAAGACCTGACAGACATCTAGACTGCTTTCAGAATTGCATTAGAGAACAGTGGCTGATGTGATGGAATTTAATTATACCATAAAAAGACATAAGCCACAATCCAGACAGCCCATTTATGTACCCTCAAGGGATTGGGCATGCAGGGCCATGGCTTTCTATTTCACTCGTTCAGCACATTAGACATCAACAACTGGAATCAGTAATCTCGCCTCTCTCTGAAACATTTTGGGTACTGTTATTCAATACAGGAGAAATGGGAATGAGTTGGATCCTGTACAAAATTTGAAAGCAGCTTGTTGTGCTTGAAGTTCTGGTGAGCATTCTTAAAGATAGTGTTTTTTTATGGCTGATTTCATATATTTTCTTGTGCACTTTCTCTCTCCACCCACACAAAAACAGAACTCTCATATTCATGGTGGCGCCATGTGTTAAACCACAGAAGCCCCTGTGCTGCAAGGTCAGAAGGTCAAATCTACATGACGGAGTGAGCTCCCATCGCTTGTGCCAGCTCCTGCCAACCTAGCAGTTCGAAAGCATGCAAATGCAAGTAGATAAATAGATACCACCACAGTGGGAAGGTAACAGCATTCCATGTCTAAGTTGCACTGGCCACGTGACCACGGAAACTGTCTATGGACGAACGCTGGCTCTATGGCTTGGAAACAGGGATGAGCACCACCCCCTAGAGTTGGACACAGCTAGACTAAATGTCAAGGGGAACCTTTTCTGTTGTTGTTGTTTAGTCGTTAAGTTGTGTCCGACTCTTCATGACCCCATGGACCAGAGTACGCCAGGCCCTCCTGTCTTCCACTGCCTTCTAGAGTTGGATCAAATTCATTCAAGGGGAAACTTTACCTTTACTTTTTTTATCTCTCATATTTCACTTTTTAAGCTTTTTATAATTTATCATAATATGTTTTGTTATTGCACTAATTCAAATGGGATACAAAGATAAATTCATTAATTCATATGCTAAAAACACTCTTGTTACAAACTTTTGCATGAAATCCTAATTGATGGATCTGTTGTACAAAAGGAATTATATCATCAGTAGCATAATGCTGCAGATTAAAGAGTTTTCTGATGCACAAAATGAAAAGAGGAAGTCTTTAACTGCTGGCAGTCTGCTGCTACTGCTGGTGCCATCCCCTTGCACATGCTGAACTGCACAGTAAACACAGGAAATATAACATTGTGGTATTAGATTTCAAGTATAAATACATTTTCCTCTGGCTTGACTCATTTTTCCACCACCCAAATGACTTGGACTCAATGCGCAACTCAGAACTCATCCACCCTTCCCTTTTTTCTGGCAAAAAAGCTTGTTTTTAACAGAGACTCTGAGTTGGGGCTTGGCACTTGTTACCAAAAAATCGGATTCAGACTTGAGACTTGGTACCAAAACTTTGAACTTCAGACTCTGACCCAAAGACTTGCCAACCTCCCTGGGATTACACTTAATATAGAAAACAATAATGCATGAGATTAGAACTCTCAAAGGTAGTGAAAAAAAGATTTCTACAGCAAAAGTAATAAATAGCAAAAAACCACAAAATTCACAGTGCAAACAATGCTAAAAAGTTTTAAGGTTCAAATAACCACATTCATTTTTCTATCTCACACTTTAGGATTTCCACAGTATCAAAAGTCTTCCCATTCATCAGAACATTTTAATGCTTTGAAAAAAAAGACCAAAGTTTAATAAAACTTTGACATATTTCTGGATATTGTATCACAAATACAGAACTGGTGCCTCGACTTAGAAACGTCTTGACTTGCGACCAATTTGAGTTATGACCAGTTCTGGTCTCAAAATTTTGCTTTGACTTCCGACCAGCGCTTTGAGATATGGCCAGAAAAAAGTCTCCCTCCTTCCTTCCTTTCCTGACTGTTTTTTAACCTTAGAGGTCATCTTAAATTAAAAAAGGATTAACTGTTTTTGCATTAGTTCCTATGGGAACTAATGCTTTAAGACAGTGATCCTCAACCTTGGGCCTCCAGATGTTATTGAACTACAACTCCCAGAAGCCTTCACCACCACTTCTGCTGGCCAGGATTTCTGGGAATTGGAGTCCAAGAACATCTGGAGGCCCAAGGTTGGGGACCACTGCTTTAAGATACAACCAGCGCCTTGAGATGCAACAAAAAAAATGGCCAGAATGAATTAATCGTGTTTCAAAGGGATTCCTATGGGAAATGGTGCTTTGAGTTATGACCAGCTTGAGTTATGACCATCATCCCAGAACAAATTAATTTCACAACTCAAGGCACCACTGTACAGCACTGAAGTCAAAACTTTTTTTCTTAAGAAGTTACAGTGTTTCATACATTAATTTCTTCAAAAAACCCTCTGGTTTATGAAAGTGGGTTATTGTGCTTTTCTATCCATGAATCAAAACACCAGGAGAAGGCCTAATACTGCTGCACAGTATCATGCTTGCATTGCCAACAAGAAAAGGATACCTAGCTTTACATAGCAAAAGGCAGCCTGAATGTTGCCAAGACCAATGGCAGTCAAGATGATTTACAGAATTCCCTCTTGTGCTCACTACCATTCACAAAGTAACATGAAGCAACGGAAAATCCCAGAAGCTGACTCCTTTTCCCGTTAGTTAACCTCATCTCACTTAAATGCAAAGCAATTGCCACAACTGTTTTTCAGTAAGTGTAAATAGTCTCAGAAATCCTGAGATAATTTTTACTGAAAGCACTCAGAGCTGGGACAAGCACAACTGCTCTGTGCTTTTGCAACACAGAAATATTTTGAGTATGCCTCACAAAACTGTATAGTAATTCCCTGGAGAGACATGGCAAAATCTACTCCTTTCTGGAGAACTGCCATTACATTCTTTAAAGCGAATCCAATATTTTTAATTCATTTTTTAATAACTGTGAACTTTTGATGACCTGTAATTCTCCCTAATCCACATGATATATGGGAGAGGTCTGCCTGGCACTGTAAGTTTATAACAAAATCGCTATTTTTCCCTTTTGAAAGGGCTTTTTTGAGGATTAGTGTTTCAGCCCCTGCAGCCTGGTTTCTTTCCAAATTTTTAAAAAGGGTGGAGCCAACCATTCTCTTTAAAGATACACAAGATTGGTCTTTTCAATTTATATGAACTATTTTAAATATGGGGATTTTAGGGTCATCTATTTCTGAATGAAGGAGGTCTCATTCAGAGACCATATTACAATTTGTTCAGTTTCCTGAACATTTTTCAATACTATCATGCAATAAATCATGCAACTTGGTCTGGGGGGGGAAACGCTTCACACATAAATATATATTCACAAAATAATAGACTGCTTAGTACTATCTACTTTTATGTTTTTAATTCCCAGTCCTAAATCTTTCTATTTAAAACAAGTAATAACATGTACAACATACCGTTAATCCATTTGGGTTCTGGATTGTGAATTATAAACTCTTTTCTGAAGAGATCTTCTAAGGACAGTCTAGTTTCTGATGAATTTGACAGTTCATCTAAAACAAAACAAGACAAAATAAATATCAAATCACTAGTTTTAAAACAAAAAACACACAAAGACACTGCTGTTTGAACCACTAAAAAACAATTTCACAATTCTAGTACACAAACTCAGGCCTAAATTAGGAACTAAATATTTCTCATTCATGAATAAGATTTGCAGAAATTCTATAATAATTCCCATAAATGAAATATGAATAAGAAAAACACTATGTAAATTTCTATAGTACTTCTGAGCAGCAGAGACTCAAATCTCAGACTGCAATTTTAAACTTGCTTATCAAAGAAGAATCCCACTGAAACCATAGTAGCCCCAGACAGCCATTCTAAAAGCATATGGAGAACATATACAATAAGGAAAGCATGCTAACCACTCTCACTGGTACTACTTTCAACATGTGAAACTCACAATCTAAAGAGGGGGAGGCTCTTATTCATATGTTTCTCCATGTCAGCCAGAACAGTGATCCACCTGGAGCAGAAACTAGCAAGCCATCCCAGTATCTTTGCCAAGAAAAACCCATGGACAGAAACAAAAGGCTAAAAGATATGACACTGAAAGATGAGCCCCTCAGGTCGGAAGGCGTCCAACATGCTACTGAGGAAGAGCGGAGGACAAGGAGCTCCAGAGCTAATGAAGTGGTTCGGCCAAAGCCAAAAGGACGCTCAGCTGCAGACCTGGAGTGAAATGAAAATCTCTTGCTGCAAAGAAAAATACTGCATAGGAACCTGGAATGTAAGATCTATGAACCTTGGTAAACTGGGTATGGTTAAACAGGAGATGGCAAGAATAAACATTGACATCTTGGGTGTCAGTGAACTAAAATGGACGGGAATGGGTGAATTCTATTCAGACAATTACCATATCTACTATTGTGGGCAAGAATCCCATAGAAGAAATGGAGTAGCCCTCACAGTGAACAAAAAAGTGGGAAAAGCTGTACTGGGATAAAATCTCAAAAAAATGATAGAATGATTTCAATATTAATCCAAGGCAGACCTTTCAACATCACAATAGTCCAAGTTTATGCACCAACCACCGATGCTGAAGAGCCTGAAATCGTCCAGTTCTATGAAGATTTACAACACCTTCTAAACTGACACCAAAGAAAGACGTTCTTCACATTATAGGGGACTGGAATGCTAAAGTCAAGAGATAAAAGGAACAACAGGGAAGATTGGTCTTTGAGTTCAAAATGAAGCAGGGCAAAGGCTAATAGAGTTTTGTCAAGAGAACAAGCTGGTCATCACAAAGACTCTTTTCCAACAACACAAAAGGCGACTCTACACATGGACATCACCAGATGGGCAATACCAAAATCAGATTGATTATGTTCTTTGCAGCTAAAGATGGAGAAGCTCTATGAAGTCAGCAAAAATAAGACCTGGAGCCAATTGTGGCTCTGATAATCAGCTTCTTATAGCAAAACTCAAGCTTAAACTGAAGAAAATAGGAAAAAAAACACTGGGCTAGACAGGTATAATCTAAATCAAATCCCTTCACAGTGGAACTGAAGAACAAACTTAAGGAACTAGATTTGGTGAACAGAGTGGCGAAGAACTATGGATGGAGGCATTGGACAGGAGGCAGCAACAAAAATCATCCCCCCCCCCAAAAAAAGGAAATGCAAGAAAGCCAAGTGGCTGTCCAACGAGGCCTTACAAATAGCAGAGAAGAGAAGGGAAACAAAATGCAAGGGAGACAGGGGAAGTTACAGAAAATTGAATGCAGACTTCCAAAGAATAGCAAGGAGAGACACGAGAGCCTTCTTAAATGAACAATGCAAAGAAAAAGAGGGAAATAATAGAAAGGGGAAAAAACAGAGGTATGTTCAAGAAAACTGGAGATATTAAAGGAATATTTTGTGCAAAATTGGACATGATAAAGGACAAAAATAGTAGGGATCTAACAGAAGCAGAAGCCATCAAGAAGAGGTGGCAAAAATAAACAGAGGAATTATACCTGAAAGATCTGGATGTCCCAGAAAACCCAGATACTGTGGTTGCTGACCTAGAGCCAGACATCCTAGAGAGTGAAGTCAAGTAGCCCTTAGAAAGCATGGCTAACAACGACAGTGGAAGTGATGGCATTTTCATCTAACTATTTAAAATCTTAAAAGATGACGCTGTTGAGGTGTAACATTCAATATGCCAGCAAGTGTAGAAAACTCAGCAGTGGCCAGAGGATTGGAAAATATCAGTTTACATCCCAATCCCAAAGAAGGGCAGTGCCAAAGAATGCTCCAACTACTGTACAATTGCACTCATTTCACACGTTAGCAAGGTTATGCTCAAAATCCTCCAAGGTAGGCTTCAGCAGAACTCCCAAAAGTTCAAGCTGGATTTCGAAGGGACAGAGGAACTAGAGACCAAATTGGTAGCATACACTGGATTATGGAGAAAGCCAGAGAGTTCCAGAAAAACATCTATTTCTGCTTCATTGACTATGCAAAAGCCTTTGACTGTGTAGATCACAGCAAACTATGGCAAGTCCTTAAAGAAATGGGAGTGCCTGACCACCTTATCTATCTCCTGAGAAATCTATATGTGGGACATGAAGCAACAGTTAGAACTGGATATAGAACAACTGATTGGTTCAAAATTTGGAAAGGAATATGACAAGGCTGTACAGTGGGGTACGAACTTTTTGAGTTACGTACTTCTCCGTCCGCAAAAATCCATATTGACTTGCGAATGGAGAATTGGCGTACGAACCTCAGGCCGCTGGGGAGGAGCCGAGAGCGAGGCGGGAGGTCGCCGCTCGGCGCATGCGAGGAAGGGCGGCGATCCTGCCTGGCGAAAGGGTGCCCGAAGGAGCCAGCCCTTGCCCTCCTCAGGCCGCTGGAGAGGAGCCGAGAGCGAGGCGGGAGGTCGCCGCTCGGTGCAAGTGAGGAAGGGCGGTGATCCTGCCTGGCAAAAGGGTGCCTGAAGGAGCCAGCCCTTGCCCTCGGGCCACTGGGGAGGAGCCGAGAGCGAGGCAGGAGGTCGCCGCTTGGCGCACGCGAGGAAGGGCGGCGATCCTGCCTGGCGAAAGGGTGCCCGAAGGAGCCAGCCCTTGCCCTCCCAGGAGCGGCGAGGAAGGGTCCCTGCAGCATCCGCCCAGCCCCCGGGGGCTTCAGGCGCCTCCGCCGGCCGAGCACTGTTACTCCTCCTCGTTTGCCCCAAGAGGCGCAGGATCGGGATCTGCTGCCCTGGAGCAAGGAGGCGGGAGCGAAAACGAGAGCCTGCTGCCCAGCTGGGGCTGCCGAGGAGCATCCGGGGTGCACGAAGAGGCTCCGGGAAGGCCAGGAGGCAGCGCGGGCG